CATAAATCTATTCTTAATAAAACGTCAAAACTATTAAGATTGACATCAGGTTTTTTCAAAATATTTAAAATATTTCCACTATGAAGATCACGATGAACTAAATTTTCTTCATGTAAACGTCTGAGACACCATGTTATTGAATGTAACATGTTTATTTTTTGTTCCCACCTTAAATCACAAAAAGTCTTGGTTAAAAAATTATGCAAGTCATCATCAAATAACTCCATAACAAAAATGTAGTTTTGTGTAGAAGAATTTTTTGAAATTCCATAATATTTTACAGTAAAGAGAAAATTATTGACATTATTTACCTTAATATGAAAATATTAAAAGACGAATTAATAAATTACAAAATCTCAATTACTTATATTCCAAATATAAATAAACATACCATTTTAAGAATTTCTATAACATATTTAGAATCTTTTATTTCTTTCAAAGCAACTTTACAGCCTGTGAAAGAATAAACCCAATCCTGTTTAATAAAATTCCATTTCCATTTTATTCCATTTTCTATTTCGGCAGAATACACAGATCCATGACCACCATCCGCTATGTGTTCGATATTTTGAAAATTATCATAAGGTATCCAATGCAACTTTTCATAAACAGAATTTATTTGAGATTCTTGTATAATCTTATCAACGTTAGCATTCCCACTAGACCAATTTTTAAATTCTTGGATTAAATGTTCTCCAGTACACAAATAACATATTCCTTTATCAAAGCTAATAAAATTTCGGTAATAAGAAGAAGAGAAATCCTCAGAAGTATGACCTGCCGGAAATACTTTATTTTTTCTATTTCTTGAGACATAAGAAGATAAGAAATAAAAGAAATATTCGACACGTTATTCTATTTTTTGTTTCCAACCTAAATCCAAAAAGTTTTCGTTAAAAAATTATGTAAGTCTTCATTTAAGAAAGATATAAAATTTTGTTATAATAAAAATTTTATTTTCAAAAAAAATGATCACAATATTATATGTACAGAATCGAACGGATCACAATAAAAAAAATTATCAGAAAAGGTAAGGATTACCACATTCAATGAATCGTTTCTATTTATAAATTCGGAAAAAAATAATTAGCCAATTTCCTTTTATTTCCCATGTCTCAAAAAATAGAAGAAATAAAGTATTGTCCAGCGGGTCATTCTTTTGAGGATTTCTCTTCTTATTACCGAAATTTTATTAGCTTTGATGAAGGACTATGTTCTTTGTGTACTGGAGAACATTTAATCCAAGAATTTAAAACTTGATCTAGTGGGAATGCTAACGTTGATAAGATTATACAAGAATCTCAAATAAATAACATTTGTGATAAATTACAATAGATACCTTATGATAATTTTCAAAATATCAAACGCATAGTAGATGGCGGTCGTGGATCTGTGTTTTCTGCCGAGTTTAAAAATGGAATAAAGTGGAATTGGAATTTTATCAAAAAAGATTGGGAATATGTTTTAATTGGCTACAAAGTTGCTTTAAAAGAAATAAAAGATTCTAGATATGATATAGTTGAATTTCTTAAAGTGGTATGTTTCTTTATAAGTTATTATGAACGGTTATTAATATTTCGTAATTTATTAGTTTGTCTTTTAATATTTTTGTATTAAGGTAAAGGCGGTTAGTCATCTTCCCGTATTTGTCGAATATCATGGAATTTCAAAAAATCCTCTTACACGAAACTATATTTTAGTAATGAATTTATTTGATGATGATTTACATAATTTTTTAACCGTAAATTTTTGGGACTTAAGTTGGGAAACAAAAATATACTTTTTATTATTAATAGCATCGGATCTTAGAAACCTACATGCAACAAATTTTGTTCATTGTAATCTTCATAGTGGAAATATTTTAATTTTTACCAACTACGGAAGAATTAGTCCAGTAATAGATTTCAAAACATTTAAATTAGCAAATAATTTGATTTCAAATGATAATAACAAAAGTAACACACTTTATGGATCAATTCCATATATTCCACCTGAGGTGTTATAAGGAAATGAATTTACAAGGGAGGGTGATATTTATAGTTTTGGTGGAATAATGTATGAAATAATTACTGCACAACGACCATTTGCTGACCAAGTACATGATACTTTTTTGATGATAGATATATGTAATGGCGTAAGACCAAAAGTCCCTGATTTTATGTTAAATTGGATTTCAGAATGGTATTTAGATTTGATGTATCGATGTTGGAGTGATGATCCTTCTGAACGTCCAACTGCTGATGAATTATATGATTTATTTTGTAATGTATCAAGAAAACTATATAATAATATAGTGGATAATGATGTTATGCGCCAAGTTCAAATTGCTGATGAAAATCAAAAAATACATCAAAATCTCAAAAGCAAGAATTATTTGAATTATTTTCACAGTCAAGCAAGTTACATCCTCAATCATGTTATATCAGCCTATCTATTCACACTCTTCATGAATTGCATGATTTATTGGAAGAAATAAAATCCGGAAAATCTTCAGGTATATTCTTATAACAATTTCAAAATTTCATTTTAATAAATGATCAATTACAAATTTTTAAATTTTTAAATTTATAGATCCTAATTTATTATTAAAGTTAAAGTCCAATGAATCAACTGCTTCAAATGTCAATACTCATTATATTGATGAGGAGACAGAAATTCAAGGCAAGCAGCTCTAATATTTCAACCTTGGATTGGTTATTATTCCCAAATACATTGTAAAACCATTTATGAAATTAAAAAAATATGAAAAAATTTGTAAAATTCATCGTCGGAGTTAATTTTCTGAGAACATTATTTATATGGGAGCTCATTTATTAAAGTAACTTTTTTAATATTATCTTAAACTATTTTCGCGTGCTCATATTATCAAGACTCGAATTTAGTATGCTTCAACACAATAATAATTTAGAGCATAAGCATATATAATAACATAACTGTTAAAGAAATATAATTTCTTCTATTATTCTATATATGAATTAACGTTTCTTTCATCAATAAATCACTTGAAGCACAAATTTTTTCTTAATTTTTTTTACATAGCTTTTGTTATTGTTATTAATATTTTGAATAAGGAGTCTGACTCAATATTACTTAAGCGAAATTCGGAATATTGTGAAATGGGCAAAGATTAAATTGTTTAAGAAATGTGAGGTTTTTTTTTTTTTGGCATCACCAGAAGACAAAAAGAGGATAAAATAAGATGTCTACCTTCAAGGTTGTTTTAGTGCATGAAGAATTGGAATCATCATAGGATTATTAAAAGTGGAATATAATAGTATCAAAAATATGCGCTGTTATTCTTGCGTGTGATTATTATCTAACTTAGATAATCTTCACTAATTTTTTTTTCTCCTGAACTGGTTCTATGTAATATTAATTGATTAATACTTGAAGTTTTTATAAAATGATATAATACTGATTATAATTTTTTATTTTAATAGGTTAGATAGTTTAAATATAATCTCGAAATAGAATAATAAAAATATTCAATAGAAAATTCGTAAAAAATAGAAAAAAATATTATTGTCCAGTAGGTCATTCTTCGGAGGATGTCGTTATTCTGATTGCCAAAATATCATTTATTCAGGTGAAAGATGGGATTTGTGTAATAAAGAGCATTCTATCTAAGAATTTAAAACTTGGTCTAGTCGGAATGTTACATTGGAGACTTTGTAATTATTTTCAAAATATCAAACACATAGTGAATGGTGATCATGGATCTGTTAATTCAGCCTTATTAAAAAAATGGAATAAAAGGGAATTGGTATTTAATCAAACAGAATTGGGAATATCGTAATTAAAAATCATTCGATTTCAAATGCTAATAACAAAAACAACACAATTTATAGGTTAATTCCATGTATTCTATCTGAGGTGTTAAGAGGACGATATTTATAGTTTTGGTGGAATTGTGTATGAAATAGTTACGGCACAACGACCATTTGTTGACCAAGCACATGATACTTCTTGGTGATAGATATATGTATGGTGTAAGACCAAAGATTCTCCAGAATGGTATTTAAACTTGATGCATCGATACTCCTTCTTATCGTCAAAATTCTTTTGAATTATCGGTTAAACTTTTGAATAATATGGATAATGATGTGATGTGATGCAATTGAATAAAAATTTCTGATGAAAATCAAAAAAAACTTCAAAATCTCAAAAGCAAGAATTGTTTGAATCATTTTCACATTCAAGTAAGTTACATCCACGATCATGTTATATTAACTGAAATATTCATGCTCTTTATGGATTATTGGAAGAAATAAAATCTGGAAAATCTTCAAGTATATTCTTAAAGCAATTTCAAAAATTATATTTAAATGATCAAGATCAATTACTAATTTTTAATTTTTAAATTTATAGATCCTGATTTATTATTAAAGCCTAATGAATCAACAACTTCAAGTGTCAACACTAATAATATTGAAGAGGAAACAGAAATTTAAAACAAGCAGAATAATGGAATTCAGCCTTTGATTGGGTTATTATTCCCAAAAAATTTAAAGAATGGATTGATTGGATAAGAGAAAGTTAAAAAGTTTTGGAAGACATAATCAAGTCTTATTTTGTTTTTAATTATTTCTATTTTAATTTTATCATCATAATTGATTTTCTAATTATATTTTTGTATGGAATCATTTATTATTTATTTTCTTAAAAAATATTTTGAGTTCATAATTATGCTTAAAGGTTAACAAATACATTGTCACGTCTGGACAGCACACAAACCAAATTACACAATAAATTCTATTTTTAGTTACACCGATAGCTTACACTTC